GGAGAGGAAGAAGAAGAAAGACGAGGGAGAGGAAGAAGAAGAAAGACGAGGGAGAGGAAGAAGAAGAAGAAAGAAGTTTAATATAGGTATTCATGTTTGTTCGTTTGTGAATAAAATAATACCTTGCATCTAGACATTTTTTTGCCATACCGTAGGTAGGAAACCTCTAAAATGGTAATAGCCCTTTCCCCACTCCAAAAGCGTACGTAACAGCATATAATTGTGATCGGTTGAGATAAAATACGTTTTTTTCCCATGATAATTTGGCTTTGACATTGAAGAACGCCGGAAACTGCACATTTTCAAAAATATTTTAAATTGTGAATCTTATAACTGATGGACCACAACGAAACTCAGCGTTTCCTATGGCGAAGCCTAGATATTTGAAAGTGATGAAGGTTGGAAGAAATGCAGAAAACAATCGGGATGGGAAATAAATAAAATTGTGCTGCAAAATTAGCAGAAGCAACTGCAAGTTTGCAATGTCAAAAGTTTCGAAAAATTAAAAATTTAAGGGTTGAGACGTGCGCTAAACTTAACTACACTAGTGGAGTTTAACAAATGATACTTTCTCGTATTATTGGTAATGGCTATATAATATTATATATCAACTTTTATTCTACCAAGTTTTTAGCCATCTCGTGGAAAACAATTCAGCAATAAAAGCTCTGAGATTCGAATAGGGAAATATGGAACATTTGCAATTTTAGAAATTTCAGAGGTTTAAATGATAATCTTTTCAGGGCTTCACTTTCCATTTACTTTGCTCTATTTAAAGAAAAAATAAAGAAAAGAAATGTAAATGTCCGTCGTTGAAATTTAACCCTTACTTCTGCCTTGGTATATGAGGGAGAAACCACACATTTATTTACATGGTTCTTATATAATTAACTTTATTATTTAAATTAAAATTTTTATCACCTGTCACTTCGGCGGAATCTAGAGAATTGCCCTGTGTCACATCAGTACTTATCCCAAATCTTTCTTTACCAAAAAGATGTATTAGTGATGGTGGCGGCCACTGCACCTTTTTCGAACCTACATAAATCAAGTGATTATTTGTTGGTTAAAATCGTACTTAAGATGCGTGAATAAATCATTAATTTGGTGTGTTATTGTTCTTTTTCTGTTATCTCGCAACCTGAGGATCCACCTTATGGGAGTAGCGAAAATAGTCTCCGATTCGGCAAACGGCAGTGTTCTCTAGAATTTACTTTTTCCATAATTCAGTTATTAAAGCACTTCTCTGTTTGATTGTAATCACCATTTCGCTAATGTGCAAAAATATAAAATACGAATTGTCAGATACATCCCATTCCCTTACCGGGTTCAGCCGCTGTCTGTCAAATAGCGAGATACTATCATCACTTATACTCGTAGTTTATGAATATTTATTGGACGAAGGGTATAGCCAGATAAGGTGGTGAAAAGTGCCCCCGAACCAAATTGATAATCGTCATGCACATATGAAAAAGAATACAAAATTTGGATTCGAAAAAAAAAAAAAATCAGCCTTCTAGGGCAATCTGTTGCAGAAATACGAGAATCGTGTTTTTCAGGTTTTATTTTTTCTCAGCTTTTATAGCATGTATCAGACTGAAAACGAAATACAGAGGCGAGGAAAATAGTTGAATTTGAACGTATTTTGTAACTATGACTAGTAACTATTTTTCCCCATCTCGGTAATGTTTTTCAGAATGATACATGCATTAGAAGCTGAGAAAAGAAATAAAACATGAAAAACAAGTTTCTCGTATTTCTGTAACAGATTGGCCTAGAAAGCTGATTTTAACGAATCTACGACTTTTGTATTCTCTTTCATATGAGCATCGTGATCATCGATTTGGTTTTGGGGCACTTTTCACTCCTTGTTCGACTATACCCTTTGCTGTGTTATAGGAGTACAAATCCTTAAAAGTTATAAAAGCAAAACAAAAGTTGTTCTTACAAAGGATAATGGAAATTATGTGATCTGTTTATATTAAGTTAGAATTAAGGCTTGTGTTATGTTACCAGTTTCAAAAATGGCGTTTCTATGTTACACAGTATCCGAAAACCTTTGAAACTACTCTCTAACCATAGGGCAAAGTTCGAAAAATTCTCTTCGTGAAAAATTGTTCGTCTTGGAGACAACGTCACTTTGGAAATAAGCTCTTCAATTACATTCATTCCTGACGACGTAATATGCAATGGTTTACTTGCCTTCGTCATAAAATAATATTATTTTATGTAAACACAGCATTCAAGGCCAGTTGCAATGGGGTTGGTGTACTAATTGTATTCGGCGCGGTAAAATACGAATTTTTATGCAAATAATAGTCCTTCAAATAACGATCTTCTAGAGAACAAATGAACTCACAAGGTCACATTATGAACCTAAAATCTTTATCACCAGGGCCGAGGTCGTAGTAATGCTGAGACAGACCAGACCAGAGCAGCCCAGCCCAGCCGTAAACTTTTACAACCAGCATATACGGACCACTGCACAATACAAGCGACGCAACGACTCAATGGAAGGAATAAAGACTTAACGGGTTGCAAAACATTGGAGACACATTGGTCTCATGCGTAGACTGCGTGTGGCTAGCGCCATTGAAATCTTCGTCACTTAAGTTTTTGACCAGGGGTTCCCAATGGGGTCAGTATAGTCCCCATGGGGGTTGATGCAAGTTTGAAGGGGTTAATGAAGAAGAAGGGGTCGATTGGGAATCAACAGACTGATTTGAATCTGAGCCTCATCGCTATAATAAAGATCCAAAAAAATTAATGATATTAATAATGACATTAACGAAAAATATATAATAATAAATTTCAAATCTCTCCCCTTCTTATCAGTCTTTTATTCATAGAAGACAGGTTGTTCAGGAAACTCATGAAATTATAACTATTTATTCACAACGATACTCAATATCAACTCGAGTTCCAAAAAAAGTTCGTCTAAAAAACGTTTAACTGATTCCCGTTTCTACCAGGACGGTGAAGTGTAGGAGGCGTTTCCTAACCCAAAATCCAACAATACCCTTCCTATAACCACGTGTCTGCTAACGAGGTATGATGGATACAGGTGAAATTACGAAGAGTATCAATTATATTACTACAAAAGAACTTGAGATAAAATTGGTTGGATTAGTTATTATTTGTGTAACTGCAACCAACAATTATGAATAATTACTACCTAATTTCATTGTAAGCTGCGGATTTTTGCCTATTTCTTTCCTTCAATGGAAAATGCAATCTTGTAGGTTATTTATCCATTTTGAAACATAAGAGTATTGCATGCGAATTTTGTAGTATGTATAAATTATTATTTTACTAATAAATGTCTATTTTGCTTACTCTTGTATTTGTTGATAAAAATTCAATTACCTTTCATCAAAACATTTAAAAAATGTACATTTTTTCGGTTTTTCTCCTGCAGAGAGGAATTAAACGAAAATCCATAAATTAATGTTCCATTTTACTACCGCCACCGTGACGGTATTTCGTGTAATAAAACATGTGCAAAATAACTGGTGGTATTTAGATTTAGATATATTCAGTCAAAAAAACAGTAAAAACTGTATGTGACGTATATGTATTTTTTTACTTTTCTCAAAACGCTCTATTTTTTTCTTAAAATATTTTCCTCGTATGTATAAAAGGATTGTATAAAAATTGATGCCGATCCCATTTTCGCATATTCTATTTATTTTCCAAAATTACAGAAAGTGAACATTTCAAAAGTACAATGTTGAACATAGATATTTTTGTCTTAACTGATATCTGTTCTAAAAATGTCGTGTAACTTAAAAACGAATGGTTTTAGTGTAATTTCTACTTGAAATTAACGTAAATTATTTAGAAAAGTCTCAAAAAACCGCTACCAATTTTTCTTAAGATTTTTTCGTGGAGAGACCAAGGGATGCTTAAAAGACCGGCGCAGGTATGATTTTCGTTAAACACTCTGAATTTTTGAAAATTGACAATTTTGAAATATTTCTTAAAAATAATGCGAGGAAGTATGTTCTGTTGTACCACTACTAGTTACATTCTGTTATTCATGGCAATTAAAATAAATCATATGATATTTTCAATAATGTTTAAACTAAATTTGAGAAAAACATATCATGCTCTGTAGAATTACAACAGGGTTGTCCAACTGGCGTCCGCGAAAAGTAAGTCAAAAGTTAAAGTCTCCTTGCCGTTCATCCTTGCCGAGCGAGAACATTCTGCGCCTAGCGCACGAGCCCTGTCGGGGTCAACAGTTCCTTTAATGAAACAATACGTTCAGTTTACATTTAGGTTTTTTCTTGTAAATTCAAAAATTCAAAACAACCCTCATGTGTTTCACTGCTTTACGCATTATACGGCCTAATATCACCCATGGTTCCATCCCACTTCCCGTTTCAGAGCAGAGAGGCAAAGTGCCGAGATCAGCAATAGGGTAGTTAGGTGTCGATCGCCCAAGTAATGAAAATGCGGCCCGCAACCATGTTAAAGGTTTTAGTTGTGGCTGTTGAGGACTTGCGAGTTGGACACCCCTGCATTAGAACATCAGCTTGCATTGAATGAAAAGCAAACAATTCACCGGTTTTTTGGCGGACGATTATATACCTCTCTTCTTACGAAGCATTCGTAAGCCGAGAAAGTAAAAAGGTAGCTACTGCGATTCAACCTTTTTTGTTGGAATTCCCGAACAACAATAGTAAGGATTTCTAAGGAAATTTTTCAGAACAATGATGAAAGCAAACATTCCATGAACGTGACTATATTATGTTTTCTACAGAAACTTTCCACACAAGTACATAAAGAAAGATAAGAAAATGTATAGTGCCTTTTTAAATGCCTGCTTTAAATTTTTATGCGCTTATTTTACATTTTGAAATCCTATTTTGCCTGCTTATTTGTACAGTTTTTCTTCTCCATAAATTCGCGGCTAAGTTATTAGTTACGCTAAGTAACTAATAATAATTCATTCAACAATTTAGTTGTAGGTCTGCAATCACAAATGTATTTTTATTTTTATTCACCTTTTGCAGTTATTGCAGTAGTTAATAACAAATAGTATAGTTCTTATTTATGAATACTTTTGCCCAACTATAGGCGAAATCATAGCCGTGGACGAATACATTGTCTGCAAGCTGCAACTGAAAAATCTGAAAGCGTTTGAGGGGCGTGTTCATGGCCTCCCTGCAGCGAATTTGGCTTTGCAACTCTTCCACCCTGCAGGGGCAACACAACCGACCAGAATCATCTTGAAGCGCTTTCCCAACGTTATTAAGAGAATATTAACGATCGGACGCTATACAGACGCTAAATTTCTCAAATATATTATCTAACATAAGGTAATATGCATGTGTATGATGTATTCTCTTCAAGCTCGTTATTATGGGCTCCAATGCATGAGCGCAAGAATTCTCTAGGGTTCCATTTTTTTAAATCACGTTTTTGTTGATATCTTAAATTAAAATAGCCATAGTTCAATTCTATACATTTTGCGTGCCCCTCGCATACGTTACCTTTAGTGAAATGAAAGCTTCTCATCATCTCAGGTGATATTCGAAGGGAACGATAAATTTAACTTTTGTCAAAATATGATATTAACTCAGAAAATAAGTTTTTCCTATGTTTACCTTACTGTTTTGAACATCTCACTCACATTATAAATTGCTCCCTGTCGGAAAGTACATTTTCTCCCGGAAGGAAACTTCGCCAGGTTGGTCAGCTTCCAAAATGTTCTCCCTTGAACAACCAGACTCAAGCTCGATCAGTCTTCTTCCTTTTATATAAAAAACTATGGGGAATCTGTCAGTTCTTATAAATGCAAGAAAGAGTCTATAAGCTCTGGATAAGCATATGCTAATTCACCAACAATAGTCAGTTTAATTGATTTAAGTTTGATTCATTTCTTGATTCATTTTTTGGGGCGCGTGAATTTTATAATTCTTTCCAGTGGTTTGTCGGCAGTGGTTCGACTCAATTTTTTTCTGGTTTATCAAAAATTCTATCTTTTTTTCTCAACAGTTATCTTTGTTTTTTCCAATTTTTTGTTTGTCTAAAATTGTGTAGCCAATTGTGCTTCTCATGAATTTCATTTCTGCTCCTTGTATTCTTGTTGCACCTATTTTCTAAGTCGCGAGAGAGTACACCAACCTCCTAAGTCCACCTATTTCAATAGTCGGCAAGTGGACCTTTTTCGTAAGTCTGGGAGTAGACATATTTCATAAGTCGCGGGTGCCCCAGCACTGCCCTCGTGGCGTCGTGTCTATGGGCATTATTACGCCCGTTGCCTCTGTCTCTGAGCTTTGTCAATTTCTAAGGCTCCACCAGTCATCGGCGTCTACCGCCACGATGAGCCCCGCCCGCGAATATCTCTGCCGCTTTCTCCTCGACGCAATCGATCGCGTAGCCGCCTCACACGAACTGGTTCTCAGATCCCTCAGCCACGACTGGTTGACACACGGACTATCTCGACATCGCAACTACAGCGTGCCACCGGAACACTCTGCTATCGTCAGCGCGTATATAAAAGATTAGCTCGTGTCCAGAATACGTTCGTAAGATTCAGTAGAAAACGTTTTAGTCGCAATGCAAATATTTAAGATAAATTCGCGACCGCTGAGAAAAATGGCATTCATTAATTAGAACGACTTAAGTTACAGGAATATTAATAGCACCAGTCACATTGTCGCCATTGCCAACGTATTCCAGGAGATTTTTTAACGGTTGAGTCATCATATAGTGGTCTGGCAAACATCAGGCTGATCTGGTGGTTCAAAGAAAGTATGATGGTGATGGGATGGTAATTGTGTTAAGGTGTTGATTTGTATTATATGAAGTTTTGTACTCGCTTTATTAGGCGTTGAAAAGTTTTACTAGATTCTATAAGATTGTTATTTAGTTATTAATATTCTGAAAACAGTAATGGATACAGTATTTCCCAAAGAAATGGTTCAATCTGTACAAGCTAAAACAGACGTGATATAAAACTGGATATTATGACAAATATTCAAAAGTCCATTATTGACGTTCATTTACAGCAAAATTACGTTTTGGTGAACTTATTATACTTTTACTGTTGGTACTATGAGCCTTTGAAATGTTATAAGAAACTAGGATTAAAAACCATACTTTTAATTATGTAAACATAAATTATCAGGTCTGTGGTAAATAAGCTCTATTGCCCAACAACTTTCTAACGGAAGCGTTAGTTATTACAAGATTAAATGTTTAAAATATATTGAAATATAAAATTATCTTGAAATTGTTAAGAAATACAACATTTACGGCTCGGTGGTAGCGCTAATCATAATAAATAACAGAAATATTTTACAAATACGATCATGAAATATTACTGATATTGGGAGATAAGTGCTAATGTCATAAAAATGTTCTTCAAAATTGGCTAGTCAAACTAAAGAGATTTGTGGTACGAATCACAATATGACTTAGGCCACGTAAAAACTGATTATTAATTAAAACCATCTGCTAATACTAAAGTGGTACTTTTATTATGTGGCACCTACAGACGACACATACACCACTGTAGATGCTCACCTGTTCAGATCAAATTTACCATGAACTTGATTGTACCCAAAATGATTCATAGACCACTTTAGTTCCAGGCCAGCCAATTGCCAATTTCACCGTTTATTTCTTTTCATAGTTTGTATTGAAAAAATGAAGAAAAACTTGAAATGCATTATTGTTATTGATTAAAATAGTTCCTTGTACAAATGGATATTTTTGCAACATTAAAAATATTTATTTCACGTCCAGTCTTGGGGAATTTGTTCGGTAGTCGATATGTCCCTAATAATTTCAGTTAATTTATAAAGTTGGTGCTTGCATGTTTCCAAAGTTTTGATATTACGGAGTCTTCTCCATGTGCTTCATTGTTCTTGAGAGAAGCAATTATGTTTTTAATTTCCTCGACTGTTGGTGGAAGTGAATCGGGTTGTTCAGGGGTTTGATACTCGTACTGAGAGGTGAAGTTCAACTGCGGCGTATCACAGTTCAGCAGCTTTTCGAAGTACATAGCAAGTATTTTACATTTTTTCATTATTAAATTAAACTTTCCCATTATGTTGTTTAAAGATATGGCTAGGAGAGGGGGGATACTTACTAAGATTTTGCTAAGGATCAAAGAGCGTCTAACTGGCATGAAGTCATGACAGCGAAAATGGTGCGAGCGGGAGAGGAGAGGTGAATCTAAAAGGGAAGAATGTGACAATATTCTGGAGATTTCTCGCTCCAGCCGCCCTTCCAAGAACAGAGGTCAATAATTCAATGGAATTTAACCGGGAATGAAATCAGCTCGGTTTGGTAGTTTATTTCAATTCATTCCATCCACTTATTTCAATTCATTCCATCCACTTATTTCAATTCATTCCATCCACTTATTTCAATTCATTCCATCCACTCATTTCAATTCATTGCATTCACTCATTTCAATTCATTGCATTCACTCATTTCAATTCATTGCATTCACTTATTTCAATTCATTGCATTCACTTATTTCAATTCATTTATTTTTATTTAGTTTAAAATTTTATTTTTCTAAAAATTAATGGAAACATTATAAAAAAATTTGGCAATAAACTTAAATTATTTTCAAGTATTTAATCTTTTTTCGTAATTAATGGTATTTTTTCTACCATGTTTTAGATAAAATTAACAAACTTCAGAATTTTACTATATACATTAGCGGAAAAAAATTCAAAAGCCATAGTAATAGATAAAATACGCACGTGCTATAATGTAAATATTGTGGATTGTAGTACAAGCTTTCAGAAAAAGAAAATATTCTGCAATTCTCGGAATCTCGAGGCGCTCTGCCCCTTGTGCTTGCCCTGCGACTGCCCTTGAAACTTCTGAATCCAGTTCTTATATTGTTGGGCCTCTAAAATGATGAGAACATTCAATGTACTAAAGTTGCTTCAACTTTTTGCAGACGAGCTAAACCGGACGCGTGCGTTTTGCACAGTTCATATCATTAGGGGGAAGAGTGTTCTAAATGTCCCAAGCCGTTTGTGATTCTGTAAATTATAATCGTTCTCCGCCGGGCGTTATTTGACCCGTGAAAATTTACGTCTTGGCACGGCCGTCACGAAACAATTGACCGTGATGCGACTAGAATGCTAGATTTCACTCTCGGAATATCGTAAGGAGGATCAAAGAGCGTCTAACTGGCATGAAGCCATGACAGCGAAAATGGCGCGAGCTGGAGAGGAGAGGTGAAACTGTAAAGGGAAGAATGTGACTTCATATTCTGCAGCTTTTTCTTTCTTGCAGTTCTTTAAAGACCCGAGGCCAAAAAGTCAATGGAATGGAACAGACATTGAAATCAGCTCTGTTTTGTACAAGCAACAAGACGTATTTTCTTTCCACATTGCCTACATTTTTTGCATCTGCAAACCTTTCTATACTAAGATGTTGACAGAATTAGAGATTGCTAGTCAGAGGGTAGTGGGCCACGAACGTATTATTCAGGAATTGTGTACTATTTATTTTGTGCATGAGTAATTAGCGAAAAACGAAGTTTGTCGTTCACAACTATCGGTATTAAAGATGAATCAGTCTTCAAAATTGGATTTGAAATTAAATGTATTTAAAATTTACCCAAACTTAAACATTAATGTGAATGTTTTTCCACTTCGATTTCATTAGTATTCTCATTTTAAGTACATTCTCCAAAAAGGTGCAAAATCTCTTTCTGATATAGGACTGAGAATATTGGAAGATCGATTCTTATTTTCGTACAGTAGTGCATTTTGTTTGAATGCGGGTTTATGGTTGAATAAAAACGTTTGATACGCTTACACTAACGCTAACGTTTGAAAGCTCACTGTTAATTTCAAAAACAATCTAAATATGAAATTGATTTCACATAGCGTCCTAAAGTGATTCAAGCTTATACAATCATGATCAAAAATCAGACAGTTATATAAGAATTGAAATATCAGTCCATGATGTAAAACATCTGCCTTAAAAATTGGTTTACATGTTTAAATTTAGTAGACTAAGTTGTTTGAATTCATTATCAGTTTTGTATCTAAAAAAAACTCTACAATCATTACCACTATACACTCTGTATGAATTGAAAATTACGATCATTAATAAATGTCGAGATGTTTAATTGAGATAATTACATACTAAGTACACAAAATGTAAAACCATAGTATCTTTATTTGTTATTAATTCTGAAAACAGACTATAGACAAGTTTGTAAAGTAGTGTAATTTATAAATTGTATTCATATCGAAACATAAAATTCTATCAGTAACAGTAAATCAGCTGGTTTTAGTACCACCCCTACGATTTGTTGTCATCCCCTTCCAGTTTTCAGATAGAGTTAACGCCGACATTCTTTTACTTTCTCGCCGCGAGAAGAGAGAAAGTTATGTAATGCTGAGCGAAAAAGCGGCGAATTTTCGGCGGACTTATGAGAGGGACCTGGTGACAACACAGTCGATTAATCTAGTTGCTAAAGTTAGGAGGGGGCTTTAAAACATGTTGTGCCAAAACCTACGTTTTGCATGTCTTTGATACCGAAAAATCGAATGACGTCAAAACGTCCGTCCGTCCGTCCGTCCGTCCATGAAGAACGCTAACGGTTAAACCGTTTTAGCTGATTTTCTCTAAAACTGGTATTCCGCAATCGATCTGACTGATGTCGCGGCCCCTTGACACAGACACTTCAATTTCTGGAGTACTTCCACGACGCGCCTAGGACATTTTAAACATTTTCGAAAAAATAGCTCCATCGTTTTTGATTAAATGTTTTTGTCTAATAGTGTGAAGGATGTTTAAGAGAATGGTGCGTATCTCATATTCGTTGGAAAGCCTGATTTTTCGAAAATTGCAAACGTTCAGTATCTTTTTCGGCGTCTTCCTACAACAAAAATATAAAAGATAAAGATTTTGCCCTAAATGAAATGTGTTTGTTAAAAATAAGTTTTGAAATAAGGTCATGTACAATTTTTCGAAAATTTGAGTACTTTTCGCGTAATTTTACGTTAAATTACTGGCGAGAAAGTATGTGCTGTTTTAGCTAGTTTCAAATGCGCCAAAAAATAATATTTTTACACTAGTTACAATGGTTGCAGCTTTTGTCTAAAAAAAACTATTCTCGAACTGAATAGTTTTGAACATTCCTTTTATAACACAGAAGACTGAAAATAATTGTCTGGTAGTATAAGAAAACAAGTAGTAAATGAAAATTTTGTGTAAAAGGAAGACTCATACTTACAGTCTTATGATATGAAAAAGAACCCAATAAAATTAAATAGTTTGGCAATTTCCGTCTTAATCAAATTCTGTATAAGTTCAGCAAGGGAAAAGAATAGAAATAACTGAGACAGATATTTGGTCGGTATTCTGGCAATGAACTTTAAAATCAAAACCAGTTGGTAGAGTTGGCGCTTGGGTTACCAAACTTTAAAATGTCCAACAATTAATCCCATGTCGTGGGTTGATAGGATGGTATGTATTCAATGCCCTAGCATTAGAACGAAAAACTTTTCTAACAATATCTATTTTTGCTATGACCTGTACCTGCGCTTACAATCCAGGGGCAATTGAGCAGGCAGGTCTTCTCCTTGCACTTCCAGCCTCGAGATACATATGTACAGTCTGAGCAGCAGCGCGGGCTGTCCACGTAGATCCACTTTTCTTCCACCTGCTCTCCCGCAATGTAGAACTCTGCAACACAGCGCCACGCACTTAGAGAATAGTGATTGATGAATATGTGATAGCGAATAGTGACTGATACATTTCATTCAATTTTTATATGTAATCGTCTTATAGACTCTTAATACTTAATACTCTTAACTCTTAATACGACAGTTTTGTTGTATTAAGAGTTAAGAGTATTAAGTATTAAGTTGACAGTCTTCGCTGAATTTAATACAAATTATTAACAATACAATTTTCGCAGCTGGTTATGCATCATTATGTAGACTTAAATTGGTTCATAATAATAATAATAATAATAATAATAATAATAATAATAATAATAATAATAATAATAATAATAGCTTTACAAGATCCAGGGACTTGCCCTAAATACTTACTGCCCGACAATACACCTTTATTGGCCAAACCAGTCGACACTTTTTAACCAGATAATTATGGACCAATTTTGCCAACATTAAACAAAATGTTGATTGCTGTTATAGTTTCCAAAATTAATGATCTGATAATTCAAAATCTTTTCCTCCTAAACAAATTGGCTGTCGAAAAGGAACCAGAGGACGCAGAGAAATATTGATTATATCGAACCCCTAGTGGAAGACTGCCATAAGTCCGAAAAATTGAATTTTGAGTTATTTAGTGGCTAAAGTGTTTGTTAATGAAGTCCGTATCCTGAAAAAATGCCACAGCTCAACTCGTAAAGATAATGATTCTTCTGCGAGTAATTCAGTTTTCTTTTCACGTCATTCTGCACTATTTCTACATCTTTATTTTGAATGTATTCTAATACATATCGTGTGCATACAATTATACGAACTGTTGGGAAAACTGTAAATTCATATAAACTCGAGCACATAACAACAGATGATTTTTTTATTTGAAATGTTTAGCTAGTTAATTGGGTACCAACTTCGAAAATAATGACTTAAAAAAAGTTGTATGGACCGGTAAAGATGCAAGCAAGCAAGACAAGATGCAACCTTCATTCTAGAATATAAAACTGCGTATGTTGAAGAGTTCCAGCAGATCAACACTAGGCAACTATGCAGAGGTCATCCTCAGATAGGATACCTGAATTAGCAAAAGGCTAATAAGAAAACCCCTGGCATAACCCAGGCCAAGAAGGACGTTGTGTACATATGTGATGCTAACCAGATTTCTTCCCAGTTTCATAACTACTCGTATTTCAGGAATATCATTACAGAAAACTGAAACGATTGTGATTGTAACACGAAACTAATTCCATAAGTGATACTTCCTAATTTAAATCAAAATAGTTAAATTGAAATAATTTTATACTAATTTGGTTCCGAATATTAAGTTAGTTTTTTTATTGAAAGTTAAATAAAGATTTACAAATGCAGCCACTAAAATAAAGGAAATCGGGAAAATTTTTGTTCACTATGCCTGCAATAACTTCTTAGCAATTCAACGAATACTGAGAAGAAAACTGTCACAACTCAAAAAAATTATTTTTAAATTAAAAAAGTATGTAGTCACAACAAGGTATTTGAAATTTATGGTATATTATTAAAGAATGTTAAAAGTTTAATATACATTATTTCCATCTTTCCGGAAATAATATTTACAATTTTTTATAGTCTCAAAATCTTAAATGCTTGTCCTGAAAAACTTCTCATGTTTACTTGTGGCAGTCTTCCACTGGGGGTGCGATATATAGTGTAATTACAAAGCAAGTCCGAAAACGCCTACATCACTTATCTGTGAGATGGCTAGACAATACAAAAATTGAGTCTGTACCCATACACGACTTATGCACATCCTTGAGATTTATAAGATTAACCCAACATTATAGCGTTTTCTCTCTAAGTGTATATACGAATGGATGACTTCTATAGGCGTTAAATAGGGCGGTTTCTCGTATCAGATCATTTTGAGATAATTGAGATTGAGGCCCGGGATTGAGATCCGGCGAGTTATGTTTCAGGATGACAGTTTGAGCCCACTGTGAGGATGTATCTCCCTTTTCCCGCAGAGTAGAATGATTTGTTCTTGTCAAGCAATTAAGTGAAGACATCTGTATGGAATATGACTTTGACAAATGTACCATATGAAATATCGAACGTGGAAAAGACCAAATGAAGGCGAATTACAATCCTTATGTAACACCAGCATACAAAGCCTTGGTAGTAAAGAAACGAATGTCAGAAAAAAATATACAAAAGAAAGAATTATCCAGAGTAAATACAATTTACGAGTCAAATATCAACTCAAGAAACAAAATGTCTAATCAACGCAAGGTCTATTCCAGCTGCAACTTTCACCTTCAGAATGAAACTGGACCGATATCTTTATACAAGCTTTATCAAGAAATTGAAAACAGCGCTCTTCAAACATCGACTACAACATTAACATAGTTCAACATAGACATCTGTATTTCGAAACAATACAGGCAGGGAACTACTGAATTTGGAAGCACTATGTCATCAGCATAAGGAGACATTACGTCGCTACTTTCTAACAATTGATACTCCACTACATAAAGCCATTTGCTCTCAGAATAAACATTAACTCAAAGTCTAGCCCAAGAGAAATAAAGGGGGATTGAATCCTCTAGTTAACAGCTCGAGATTGAATTAATGCGTGGAAGATGTAATAACTGTATGGCCGGTTAACTGCACCGTTGATCGTTGATCTGAAATCGTTTATGAATGTCAGCGAATAGCGGGTCGTCAAAACCAAGGGATTCTTCTTCTCCATACAATATAAAGCTATTAAAATAGATCCTATTAAAAAGATGTTTGGAGCCAAAAGATTGAGAGCAAATGCCGATTATGTAAAAATACTAAGAATCATTCCAACGTACTTGCAATGGATGTCCAACTTGGCACTAACTGAATATTTCCCAAGTCATAATAAAGTAACCGAAGAAATTCAACAGCTTGCAAAGAAAAATCAATTTGCAGAACAAGGGCGATCGTGTGTGCGTGTGTAGTGTATACTTTTAGAACCTTATTAATCCGAACCCCGAAAATCCGAAATTTTGGTCCGAATAAAATCCGGGATGGAGGAAAAACAAACATAGTAAATAAAATGCTAATTTGTAGTGTAAAGAAAGAATTTTATAATTCCTGAAGAACTGAGCAGCTGATTATTGAAACACATGTTGTCTAAATGAAACGTTCATTGAATTGGTAATTACGGTGTATATCACATGTTTATTTGCCGTAAGGAACTGAATCTGCTTGACGATGCGATATGATGTGATTATGCGATCGTTACGGTACGTTGCCATTTTCTCACATCGCACACTACGTTGCATTGTCTGGTAATCCTATAGATGAATTTGTATATGTACGTTACGGTATGTGTTTCAGATAATTCGAACATTTTCGATTTCGATCAGACCCCCCACTTTGTTCGGATTATCCTACTTAGGGTGGCCCTTATATAGGGGTGGACATTTTTTCACATTATTTTAAGCACGCATCATTTACTTTTCCCTTTTTTAACATAATTTTTAAGTATAACAAATATTTCTACATTATGTAAATTTTAACACGTGCCTCATTGAACATGAGTGAATGAATGTAGAGGATAAGAATGCTAAAAATTAAGTATTTAAAAATATGTATTTACTTACAAATGTAATGTATAATTTTGCTACAGTTATTAAACACAATTATTAAATTTCATTATTAAACTGGTGTGTGAAAACAATTCTTAATAATGTATTTTCAATTATATTTTCTTTAAAAAGTAGCTTTTTTGCTGTCAGGGTATTGTTTTCTGTGGTCTTCTACACACTGGAGTATAAATTTTTTTGCCACATCATTAACAACATTGAGAATCCGGGACGTTTCTTGTGGTTTTAAATAAGAATCATCCATATCCCAGAGATCTGGGCTATGATTCAGAAAGCCAATAACAACATCCAATTTCGTTAATAAATTTAAACTTTAAAGGGAAATGAAATACTCTATTGTTTTTTGAATACAAAAACAAAGTCATTTTAATGTATGTAAATTTCGACTGACTTAATTTGCAAATATTTATTAGAACACACTGTTAAACATTTTATAAATTATAAAATGGACGGTATTTTTAAATCAAAGAAAATGTTTAATGAAAGTATTCTAAATTAATAAAAATAATTTTATTAATATTAAAATCTTCCCAAAGAGGAAGAGAGCTTCATTAGGATGAATGATACATCTTTCAGTTAAAAGACTTTCTCGTTCCAAATCCCCTATGATGCCATTTTTGTATGTAATACTAACATTTTTATAAACAATTTCTAAAATACTTGCCTCCATTTAAAATCCACAGATGATTGCATAATTTCTTTAAATCATTTGACGAAATTCCTTTATTTATTTTTTTATGTTTCTTCAATATTTTTAAAAACATTAAATCATTAAATGGAGCATTTACTACTGATGAACTTTCCAACCACCTTTAACATGAAACTAGAAACAAATGTTTTTTAGACTGTTCACTTCACACTTTTTTTAAATCCAATTGCTCTCTAAACAAAAACATTTTAAAGCAATAAATTGCTTTTGCCATTCACCGAGCACTGTGCAATGCCCCTGGTAGCCTAATTTTAATAGTTGAGTCAGAGTTCCTTCCAATAAAAACTATACATACAACAAACTCCCGATAATTGTGCTTCAATTTTTCATTTTTTAGTGCATGAAAAAGATTATTCACATTACTCAGCATTTGACTTTCACCACAAATTTCGTTCAAGTATTTATATCCATCTACATAATTTTCTTTTTCAAAATTATTTCATTTTTCTCTGAGTCTTTTAAAGAAAACAACATCTGGACCATTATTCACTTGAGGTAACTCGTGTTCGAAAACTCTTCGTTGCAATAATTCATATACGTGGTGACGACATGGAAAATACATGATCTCTTCTGCAAACTGCTCTAGAAATGTTTTCGCGCCGTTAAAACGACCAGCGTTGGAACTCGTATCAGACCAAAGATTTTGAACTTTATCCTATAATCCCCTATCTTTTAGAACATTCCAGACAGCCCTAGCTTGCTCTTTTCCTGAAGAATTTTGTAATTTAGGCACTCGATACAGCCTTTCTTGGCCAATATACGAAAAAATAATAAGTAGCCTTTCAGTTTTTAAATCTCTCACATTTAAAGCTGGTAGAAATTTATCATCCCAATGCACAGACATATATATAGGTTCATTTTCTTTAGTTAATTCTTTAATCTTAGTAGCCTTCTTCTTACGAAAATCTTTCCGATATCTTTGAATTGTATTTCGATTGATTGCTAGTTCATCTACGTTATGTCCTAAAGACTCATCTGCAGTTTCGAGAATAAAAACTACATTTCTCTGGCTAATGTGGCATTGATCGAGCAGTGCTCGGCATTGATCAATTTTTCAGTTAAAAACATTTTTTACCGAAATGTCACGTTAATTTAAGTATCAAAATTTCTTTTTCCTAAAGTCATCTGTCCATTTATGTTTTCTTCAAGAGAAGTCTTGTTAATGCCTGATGAAGGCCCAGATTGATCAGAATATCTTCAACATCTGACGACTCTTCGAAATAATCTATAAAAATTCCAGCAACATCAGTAGTACACTGAGCCTTAGCCCGTCTGTTTGTATTTTCCCTATGTCTCAATAATGCCCATTCTTCACGCTTTGCTAGCTTCACATCGACTCCCCGCAAGACATCCCCTTCGCACAGGCTCTTTGTCTATGTAAGAATGTTTTATCTTCTTCAATTTTTATAGTTTCTAAAGCATTCACGTGAGCAATGTCAAATACATTATTTAAGTCTGAAATAAACTTACATTCAGTCGTCCGGATTGCCAAGATCGCTAATGTAGTAGTGCAGTGACGATCTCTGAAGGATGGATCGAGGTTTAGTATATCCTATTTTAGTGCCCACCAATACTCTGCAAGGTTATTTTGATACCATTTCCCCCTTATAACATTTTCCGTCGTTGCAATGATTTGGTGGAATCGTTTGGTGCTTTGTCGCTCAGAGCACCGAGATTTTCACGAAGAAAGTCGAAGTGAGACTCCAGAAAATGTAAATACGGAACGTGTAACATCCTAGAGCGTTATAATTGGGAAGGAGTTCCGACACTAGTTCTTAATAGGTCTCAGCGTTTCTGTTACCAAGAAATCCCTTTGCGAACTTTTGAAGCGACTTCCGTGCACTCTTTTTAACACTATTCAAACTTGCCTCAAAGCCATGATCCTTCATGAGCTCCTTCATTTGTGATCCTACAAAAACACCCTCTATTATTTTCGCCTCAGTGATCCTCGGGAATTTGTTCTGTAAGTACGGGAAACCTGACCTACTTTTATCAATCACCGTCACGAAATTTTTCATCAAACCGAGTTTGGTGTGCAAGGCAGGAAGATGTGTGTGTGTGTGCAGCATTATAAGGGGGTTGTGAAGTTACATTTTGTCCAGGAATCAGACCTGGTTGAGACCAATGTTTCTTCACAAAATGATTTTTGTTATGTCTGCTCTCTCACTCGCACAGAAAACAGCAACATTTTGAATACACTTTGAGACCTAATAAATGTGTGATGACTTTCAAATCGAAATATACATTTCACGAATTCTGCTGGTACGTATACTTCATATGCCTTTCGTATTAAGGGAGTAATATTCCGCCTTTTTATATTCAAAGTTACCTCACCACACATATGACAGAAATTGTTTGGATGGTTTACACAATGCCGCGGTATTGCAAGGAGTATATTCGTCAAAAAAATAACACTAGAACGCAATAAATATAAGAGTCGTGCACGATACAGAAATATCAACACCTTTCTCTCTCGACATGCAAGGCGCTACTAACATGTAATGACCCACGTACACAACGCGCCGAGTCGGCGCGTCGTTTACGTGGGTCACTGCAATTCCATTCGCAATGTCCGATGGTGCTTAACTGATTTGACCGATCTGGCATATATTTCATATCTTGAGTAGAATCCACAATATCACACATTGTTGCCGACCATCGTCTTGTAACATATCTGCAAGCAACTAGCGTTTCAGCACAAATGACACGTGACTATCTGCGAAATATGTATAGTTTTAGTATATGTGCGATAACACGAAAACTAGCCCGGTGGGCGACTTTTGCGGTTGTATTCCGTTGCGTAGGAAAGTACATAAGAAACAGCTAGAGTTATCCTTTTAAAAAATCACTGCAGACCATTGTTATCAATATTGTAATTCCTACTTGTGAGAACCAAGAGACAGCAGTTGCTGAGAAAAAACAAAAATGTCAATCAATAGCTGTTACGATGGATATGTACAGATTGGAGAGAGTAGAGATAGTACCTGTGACGATATAAGCAAACAGAGTTGTCACGAAGGATTGGCAAAAGTCTAGGGCAAGTCTACAGTTACGAGAACAATACCTTGGGGCTATATAGAGACCCGCTTGTTTAGACACAGCAACCATCCTCGGAAAATGTTTGAGTCTCCAATGAAGTAGAATCAAGTATCAAGAAATTACTACATTAGCATTACCCGTTATTATGGGAAGAGAGTTGTTTAGAAATTTGAAATAAATTCTTCATTGCAACTCCATATATTTGTACAGACGATTTGTCTTTAGCAGAAAAGCTCCGACATTGTAAAGTAATAATAACAACAATAATTATAATAATTTTTATTATACCAAGACGTATATTACTAATTTCAAATGCGCGCAGGAATGTAAAGAAAAAATTCATCCTACGGGCAAGTGAGAGGTGACTGCCTTCGTTAGGTACCCAAGACCACGGAAAAATCCAAAAATAATCCGTTTCAATTTTGTCCGAAAAATCGAAATATCTGTTTGGGTTAATCCTCTAAATGTCGTACTGTGTCTATTGACTGAATTCTCACTCAGTGCGTCATTATCCACGACACAGCTGAGTAATAACGCAAGTCTCCGGAGAAGCGCCCGCCATCATTTGCTATTCACGTGTTGCGTTATAGAACAGAGACTTGATTTTCTTGGAATGTAAAGGATTGTTGTACGATGTTCTTCTAGGTGTGTTTGTTTTTTGTATCTTTTTGTTTTTGTTTTGTTATTTAAGGTCGCATCAACTTCTACGTCTCTAACGACCACTATTGTGTGTACTATTGCGCTACGGCACTACTGCCTGAGCGATCTCGGCCATCCGGGCCGGCACTATGTTTTTGTGAAGACTGTTTTTGATAATTTATTTAATATATTGCATTACTGTATGAATAATTTGTTTTTATTGAGTAGTGTGCTACTTTTAGGAAAATCATTTGTGTGGTTT